TATAAGTTGTTTTATCGCGCGATAATGTTAATTGCAAATTTTTTGAATGAATGGACTTAGCAAAACTTTTCGCGCGATAAAGTGGTGAAAATTTTTGTAGGTGGATGGCCCTTGAGAGCTACCGTAGATAAGAGAAACGTAACAAGATAATGTTCTCCTCGTCCGGATAGAAATAAGTAGCTTTAGCCATCAAAATTGAGCAGGGAAACTCTTCGTATCGGCCTGGGAATTCTGATATCACTTAAGCCAGTGAACACCCTGAATTGAATTTTGTCTTTTGAACGATACTGTTCACTAGAGCTCTTTTCGCTTGAATGATCTGGCTGCCGGGGTAGGACCGGGTGGGCATAATATTTTCAAACAAAATTTACAAAGCTAGGGATGTTTTTAACGACCAGAGGTCTTAGATTTAGATTAGCAGCCTAGAGAATAACTTGCAGACGGAAAAAGTACTGAAGAGCAAAAAGAAAAAATGATGAAACATTTAGAAAGATAGTCTCTTAAAAGGCGAAGAACAAGTAAAAATACCAAACAGAGCTGGATCGGAGCTAATTTTCACATCCTAGAAGAAAAGGACTGGCAAGACTTTAAGTAACCAAAAGCACTCACCTGTTCTGGATACACGCTTCCTTTTATTTCAGCAACAGTGTTCCTTGAAATTACAGGCGGCAAATTTTGGGCTGCCATTTTCAAGTTGACAACTATTTTTGTTCCTCTTGCTGCCATCCTTGCCATCATTTCTGCATCTTCTATTGTTATACAGGCTGTGGGGATTTTCTTCACTCCTTTCAAACAAGATGTCAATACTGTTACAATAACGGTAGAAATTCTCGCGCGCTCATTGGACAAGAAATACTGACCATAAGGTTATTGATGATAAAAATGGCACATTATGTAATGCCATGCTTGGAAATCCTCGTCGGTCGGAGCTGAAATTTATCTCGTAAAAACAATTGCAAATTTCTGAGATATGGACATTAACAGACTTCTGAATTTAAGAACGGAATAGTTTGAGAAATTTTTGAAGAAGAACCTGTCGTGATGGAAGAAAAAGCAGAGGAAAATCTTTAGAAATAAAAATTCGGTTCTCGGTCCGCAAAGTTGAAAGACGGGTAACCTCGTAGAAATACTTGCCGATGCCGGAGCAAAAGGCACAAAAAGTACAACTAAGTGGGCAATAAAAAACGATCCAGGGTAACAGAGTCTATTGTCAACCATTTTTTACTAGTAGAGTAATTCATTGTAGAAGTCATTACATAACGCAATTTCAGTTAAACCAGATAACAAGGCAAAGATTGATCATGTTACGCGCGCTTAACTTTTCAAAAAACTTTGGTGCATTCAGCTCGCATAAACATTTCAATGTTGTTGTAAAACACAAATTGACCACAATTTTGCATTGTCTATAACCTGATTGATCATAGAAAAGTGAAAAGTGACCATCCCACGGATGAAACGGTAAGGGAAGGTACTTTTTTTCTTGGGGTGAGGGGGGGCGTACCCTGCTGGCAGAGGCATTTATTTGTTAACTTCCGCTACGGTCCACGTAAAAATAAAGTCCTCTGAGCTCGGTCTATTAAATCTTCTTCGAGCATGCGCCTGGGAATTATCCAAGTTTGTGGATAATCTGATTTGCAAAACCGGTCAGAACCTGTTTTAAACACGTTTTTATGCGCACGCATTCTATTTAGCTATATAGCAAGACCAAGTATGAGCCCACAATCACCTCACCGGAAGTTCAAAGTTGGCCGAGTACTAACGGGAACTAATTTGTTTCTAAGCAACAGGCCGCGCATGCTCCAAGAAGATTTAATAGGCCGAGCGCAGAGGACTTTATTTTTACGTGGACCGTAGGGGAAGTCAACAAATAAACGCCTCTGCCAGCAGGGTGGGAGAGGGGGGGGGAGGACTGAGGAATTTTGGTATTTTTTTTCCGAAAAAAGAGTGGTCCTTTGCGTTTGAATAGAAAATCTCCTGACCACCACCTCTAGGTGACTGACAAAAGTGCAACCCTTCCTCACTGTTACGTGGTATGTTCCATACCGTAGAAACCTCAGAACATTCCGCCTGTGAACGCAAAATGTTTGAATATAAATATATATATCTTATTAGACGTTTTGTTGTGTAGTATCGCTGAGTATTTTTACGAGTTGTGCCGTATTTCGACGAGCCCGTAGGGTGAGTCAAAACACAAATAACGCGTAAAAATACTCAGCGATACTACACAACAAAACGCCTAAAAGTTATTTATTATTTAACACGCCAAACTATCATTTCAAAGCGGGGGAATTTCCCGGATGTTTATTTACGGGGAGTGCGTGACAGAAGTATGCGAAGCGGAACGGAATTGGCGCGTTGTCGCGTTGCTGTTTCTATTTTCTTCAATAAATGAAGAAATTTCCTGGTCGTCTAGCTGTTTTTCTTCGTTGAATTCATCTAATAAACTTGGATTTACATTTGCCAGCCATTCTTACTCTTGGTCGCGGGAAATATAATTCAAGTTGTCCGCCATTTTTTTTTCGTAACTACAATCCAATTCTTTGCTTCCGCGATGCGAGAAAACCTGTTTAACCGGTACTCTAGAGTAACTACCGCGTGATATTTGTACTCGTCTATGGCGTTATTTGTACTCTACGAAGTGTAGTTGGATAATAAATCTCGATATTAAAAGTTGTGGGCTGAAACAAGAAAATGCGTGCAATCAGTGTGGGATATTTACGTTTTATGGCTCAAATTTGAATATGGAAGTATAAACTTTGAGTGTTATAAAAGTAATAGCGAATAATAATTTGATGGATCTAGTAGTAACTCTTCAGAACTACAGGAGATCAATCAGGGGATAGTCAACAGGAGCACAAAGCTGAAGAAACAATACCTGAGTCTGGTAGGTCTCGATACGGACGGAAAAGGACATGAGTCCTCCGAGAAAACTATGTGCCATGGTAAAACTTACATGTAGAAATGTAACCTACCACCTATGATAAAAACCAAATTAAATCAAAGTAGATGAAAAGAAAAACTCAATCTGTATGTAAAATAGAAAGCAACATCACAAAAATCCTCATTAAAAAATTGTCGAAAAGGAGTCTGACCCTCCCCTTGAAAAGCTTACAAAGAAGTATGACCCCTTGAAGAGCTTACAAAGAGGTATGACCCTCCCCTTGAAGAGCTTACAAAGAGGTATGACCCTCCCCTTGAAGAGCTTACAAAGAGGTATGACCCTCCCCTTGAAGAGCTTACAAAGAGGTATGACCCTCCCCTTGAAGAGCTTACAAAGAGGTATGACCCTCCCCTTGAAGAGCTTACAAAGAGGTATGACCCTCCCCTTGAAGAGCTTACAAAGAGGTATGACCCTCCCCTTGAAGAGCTTACAAAGAGGTATGACCCTCCCCTTGAAGAGCTTACAAAGAGGTATGACCCTCCCCTTGAAGAGCTTACAAAGAGGTATGACCCTCCCCTTGAAGAGCTTACAAAGAGGTATGACCCTCCCCTTGAAGAGCTTACAAAGAGGTATGACCCTCCCCTTGAAGAGCTTACAAAGAGGTATGACCCTCCCCTTGAAGAGCTTACAAAGAGGTATGACCCTCCCCTTGAAGAGCTTACAAAGAGGTATGACCCTCCCCTTGAAGAGCTTACAAAGAGGTATGACCCTCCCCTTGAAGAGCTTACAAAGAGGTATGACCCTCCCCTTGAAGAGCTTACAAAGAGGTATGACCCTCCCCTTGAAGAGCTTACAAAGAGGTATGACCCTCCCCTTGAAGAGCTTACAAAGAGGTATGACCCTCCCCTTGAAGAGCTTACAAAGAGGTATGACCCTCCCCTTGAAGAGCTTACAAAGAGGTATGACCCTCCCCTTGAAGAGCTTACAAAGAGGTATGACCCTCCCCTTGAAGAGCTTACAAAGAGGTATGACCCTCCCCTTGAAGAGCTTACAAAGAGGTATGACCCTCCCCTTGAAGAGCTTACAAAGAGGTATGACCCTCCCCTTGAAGAGCTTACAAAGAGGTATGACCCTCCCCTTGAAGAGCTTACAAAGAGGTATGACCCTCCCCTTGAAGAGCTTACAAAGAGGTATGACCCTCCCCTTGAAGAGCTNCTGTTGAATAGACCGTCAACTATTAAATCCTGACTTTTAATGTTAAATCTTATTACATGGTTGATGACACACCGACAGGCGAAAGATAGTTAGGTAACGTGGGTATAGTATACCTTCTTCGTATTCTTGCCAGCCAGTATGAGGACTGTTGATAGAAAATGGAGTCACAGAACGGATAAGGGAGGCAAGACCACCAACTTTGGCCACCTCTGCAGCGCCATATACTCGATAAACCACTGTCTTCCCATAACTAATCCACTTCTCATTAAAAACCACAATTTTACCCTTAGCCTGCGAGGAAAAAATTACATACTACATAAATACCTGGGAAATGAAAAAGTGCCATCGTTACCCCATTTGGTTGACTTTGGCATTTTTAAGGTGACTTGAAGATTTTTTCTTTGGTAGTTAAATTCAGAGGGAAAAACCAGCGGGCTACCCCTTCAGCCCAAAATCATGAAAAGCATTTTGGTTGGAGGATATGATCACCCATGAATTTTGACACTCTCATCACGAAGTTTGACAGTTCTTCTTGGTGGCACCAGACAAACGCATATTGTCATCTTCTGTGGAAGTCATGGGGGCTTTCAGGTTTGAACGAGCTCACTGTTTTCCGGATGAGGCCTAGTCGGTTCTCACAAAATTTTGTCTCTCCGTCTAAGAGTCTGAATAGGTATAAGTGAAACCCAACCAGATGTAGAAGGTACGTATTTAAGAGTGGACTGGCATCATATAAAAGGAGAGTTACATGCATAATTCCTTATCACTTCATACAAGTCCAGGGGTTTAGCCATGAGGTTAGGCTGGAACGAGCGAGTAGTAGTCTTAAATTGAGGGCTGATATGGAGAAAAATCGCAACTCTCCTTTTTGAAGGCAGGGATATTAATTTGAAATACTGAAACTTTTAATGAAAAGTGATCTGTCAGCGCCGTTTGCTTTTGTCAAACTACATTATAGTGTACGGTGTACCGTGTACCTCTGAGGCCTTGGCATGAAGTTCATCAAATGAGCTCACCACCAAAACTTCCGCAGTAATACCTTCAGGCGGAGTACCCACACTACCTCCCAAGCCAAGCAGGGCCAGAGAGTGATTCCTTGGCATAATCATTTGGGCTGATTCCTTACCACGCACCCAGTGTGTTACATTCACTTCTTCACCATGTACATTATCAAGTTTGTCCTCTTTCAGCTCATTTAGCATGTAATCTATAGCATGCTCCAGATTGGCAGAGCCTGCGACTCGACTGCCAAACGTATCAACAAATGTTGCAAGTCTGTTGTAAACCTGATGCTTTCCTGGTCCTTTTATTAAGAAGTCCATGATTTTGTTCGCTTCAACTTGATGATCGGATATCTCATTCCTTACCATGTCAAAGGTCTTATTAACACCCCTAGCCGACACTAGTGAGAATTGTGGTGAGACAAAACAAGCAAAACATAGGAAAACGGTCCCTAGCTCCATCTCGACCTGTAATTCCAAGAAAAAGAACCATGGATAAGGTCAACACTGTACAATCAGGTCAGCCATGGCGTAAACCTGTCGGCTGACGTGCCGGATAACTTTTTCGAGTCAAAGGTGTGAGATTGTTTTTCTTAGAAAATGCCTGTATAGTCGGAGAGACCTGATGATATAGGAAAAATAATGCATTGGATTTTATAAAGATTTTCGAGGGCGTCTTGAAGAGTTCTGACTAAAACTCATCAAGCAATCTCCTATCTGAAAACAAATCAAGGGAGGGTTATAAAATAAATAATCTTCCCTCTTGCCTGCTGGTATATCGGATTATATCCTCGGCTGAGAAAAAGTCCTCAGAATTTCACATTTACCTTCGAAACTTTGCTTCTCGGCCAAATTTTAATTTCTCGGATAATATCTAAGCTCCGGGTATTATCAGCCGACGTACATACCAGCCGACTGAAGCGGGTTTATTTATCAGATAAATAACCCTCATCTACGTCGATATTTGTCCGATTATTTCCCTCGGAAAGAAACAATGGCATCGGAAAAAAAGGCAACATATTTTACACAAACTAAAACCAAGCTCGTTTTTTAGAGTCTAGTGAAAATGATATTAAAAAGCTGGTAAAAAAAAAAAGCATTCGCCATCATATCAACGCTGGCGTTGAAGTATTAACTAAGATGAACACCTTTCTGGCCTGCTGGCATGTCGGTTGATGATGTCCGCGGCTGAGAGATTATCCTCAAAATTTCACATTTCCCTCGAAGCTTTGCTTCTCGGCCAAAGCTTCATTCTTAGGACAATCTCTCAGCCGCGGACATTATTAGCCCGCATACTGGCCAACAGTCGGATCATGAAGATCTATCCCACGATTACATAATAACCTGTGAGCGCGCGTGAATGTATGTAAGTATAGTTGTGTGTGATGTGCATATCATATGCCATACATAATAATATGATAATGATAATGTAATATATAGCTCTTCATCATAATACAATAATTTGAAGGATAATAAACGAAAAAGCCACAAAAGTATGCTCGTATATTTGGGCTTTGGACCTCTTCCTCGAAGATCACGGTTTTCCTACATCGAGCTTCGCTCTGAGAAAACTCTTCACATCACGGAACAGATAATGTCCGCGACCAAATACCCTTATATCTTTTCGCGCTAAATAGAGGCTATTGTTTAGATAGTCGAAATACAGGGAAATTACCTTAAAGCTTAAAGTTCGTCCAAGCGTTGAAAGGATTAGCTACAAATGCCCTCTAAGTAAGAAAAAGCTAGCCTTTCCTTGGCAATGTTATTTAAAATATCCTTTAATTAAATAAAACGACTTTATAGAAGGAACAATAACGTCGAAATTTACAAAAACGCAACAGTGGACTAATTGAGATACAATGAAATATATGAAGTTCATATATCATTTTGTACTGCGGTATATTTTCATATATTTTTGTACGGCCTGCTCCCATTTGGCTTGTTAGCTCAATTGCTAGAGCGCTGCACTAGTATCGCAGAGGTCAGTGGTTCGCATCCTGTACAGGCCATATTATTATTATTATTATTTTTTTTTTCAGGTCTGATTTTCGCTATTGCTTAAATAGCGCTATCTACTGCGAGGATCGTGCATCATATGTAGTGGACTAAATGTTAACAAAACGGTTTTCTCTTCTAATATTACCTAATGAAACGATACGTGAAAGATCACGAGGCGGATTATTTCACCAAACGCAAGCAATAGTTTCCGCACTAAAAGAGTTGGGTCTGCCTTATTGACCCGACAGCCCTTTTGCTCCCTGCTGTTCGGTTACGTTTTTGCGTTCTCAAGTTAAGTTCCATGGGGTTCTCAGTGAAAGCAGAAGAATTTAAAAACTTAAGACCGAAAAACCGCAGGAAAAAAAAATCATCCAAAACCGCAAAACCGTAAAAAAAAAAAAATCGACCAAAACCGATAACCGCATGTAAAACCGTCAAAGCCAAGTTATCAGAATCTAATCGAGCCGATACAGTGGTATCATGAGGAGAATAGAGAGGTTTAACGGCTGTTGGAGATCAGTTGAGGTGTATAATCGCCGCTCAGACCAGAACCCGAATAGGAAAAACCGCAAACCACCTCGGATACCAAATCCGGAAACTGGTAATATTTTTGACGAAAACCGAGAACCAATTATTATTTGTCATCAGAAGCCTACGTCAAGAAGGATATACACAAGACGAAATAGACCACCTTTTTAATTCAATTGTGATCCCTAAGTTCTTATACGGTCTTTCAGTTTATGCTGCAAGTGTTTCCGAACTTACTGTTATACAAAGGTTTTTGAAAAGAAAGCGACGGACGCCTTTTTTATAACCTCAAACATGATGACCATCCATTAAAAAGCCTACTTCCAAGGTACAAAGACTATATTGTAAACATTCGAAGGAAATCCATCGTCAGGCCCAGCATTAACACTGTAATTTTTCCCATCAATATATATTTTTATTGTAACATCAGATATGTAATTTTATCGGATGATTTTTTAATAAAGACGAATTTATTTATTTAAATGCTTACAAAACAGAAAATTCGCAAACCGTACTGAACACCAAAACCGAAAAGCTGATTTGAAAAATAGCTAAATCCGCAAAACCGAAATTCTCATTATGCCCCCCTTCGTTACCCCTGGGCAGTTTAAAAATCACCATTAGTAATTTCTGTAAAAAAGAATTCTTTTATTTTCAAAAATTCTATCAAATACAAAATATCTTCCTAAAAATTTTGAAAGTATGATGGTCCCAGCTAAAGGCAAGTTTCCAAGACTTTGTAGATACAAGAACCCTAGTTGTTTGTTAAGTCCAAAGAGGATCTCCCCCTCGGGGGTTAATTAACTTCAGCTCTGGAGTCAAAGCCCCCAAAAGCAGGTTAATTGGACTTTGACATTTGGAACAATGACAGTGAGATGGAAACAAAGGAAATATTTTTGGCCTCTCTTCCCTGAAGGGGAGTAGAGTAGGTTTGAAAACAATGACAGTGGTTTTACTTTAACTAGGGGAATCATCACCTTGAGCTGACGGTTATCCCAGCTAGGGTACTAGTGTGTCATAATAACTACTTAGTAGAGCTCTTAGGAATTCTCCTCATCCAGGAATTTTTAAGTTATCCTAAGGAGCTGTGGAATAGGATTGCAATGCCTGTAAGATTTTTTTTTCTTTCCCTGTACAGAGGACCATTGAGAGTATGGAGTGAAATATTTCCCTACCTTAGTTTTTTAAAAACCTGCAAGTACAAGGAGTCAACTTAACATAATGCACTTTCACACCAGCAAAACTTGCTTAGTTAAATCATGTTAACAGAACTTAAACACAAATTTCCAATAGGATCCAAGTAATGGCAAACCTGTATTTTCAAAGTTCTGCATTTGACATTGACAAACATCAATTTAAACAGTTTCTATGAAGAAAAAACTGTTAATCAAATTCAAAAAACAGCTTTCAAACATGTTTAAACTTTGGTGTGAATGGGGCATCAGTCTATAGTAGTCCACTTATGTTAAAAAAAATATGCTTCAACTACATGAATCAAATTCCAATGAACTTTCCTGTTTGGTGAAAAGCATGCGATAGAAATAAAAAAAATGTTCTCCTGTCTTGAAGGTATAGATCACGACAGCTAATTGTTCCCTGCTTCTCAATTCCCACCTTAATATTCATCTCATCTCAAACTAAATTATATTGTTAAAAAAATAATTACATCTGCGTAGTGTAATATGTGCCTTGGGCTAGTCATTGTGTACATTAAAAAGTAATAACTTACTGAGACTTTTCACAACACTGAAAATGAAAGAGAGCTACCTTGGTAATCATACTTCTGTTGTTACTAGTTTCGAGGCAGCATTTCATCTAGATTGGCAACAGTGTAAGCCACAACAGTCCACACTGCAGCACACAGGTCCATATCATCAGGGTCCTGTACAGTCATGGTGTCACCATTTGAGTGGTGAAAATAGAAGTACTTACTATTTTCATTGTCCAAGCTACCACCTGGTACCCCTTCTTCAATCCAGAAGGTGATATCCCCACCAACGTTAGTAACTTTCAGATTAGTAACATTAATTGGCTTCAACAGCTGCATCACTTCCTCCATTACAACAGATGCATTTTTGCTGCCTTTAAAGGCTATCCCTACAGGCTTGAAAGTTCCAATGTCAGACTCCATCACCAAGCTGAAATTTCCTGCATTTTCTTTGTGACGAATGTAGTACTGTTCTGCTCCAAGAAGACCCTCCTCTTCTCCTGTCCATAGCACCATCCGCATCGTGCGCTTTGGTTTGAGACCTAACTGTCGAATAACTGACAGTGCTTGCCAGGAAATGAATGCACCTCCCCCATCATCCATTGCACCTTGACCAACATCCCAGCTGTCTAAATGACCACTGACAAGAACCACCTAAATGACCAGATAAGAAGACATCGAAAATCGATGAACACTGATTAGATTCAGCCATAATTGACAATCAGGCCCCTGCTGCTTAAAAAGAGGATAAAGATATCCATCGCATAAATCTCTATCTAGTGGATAGCGCAGTCTGTTTTGTTTACACTTACCCACTGGACAGTGATTTGGCCAATGGATAGTATTATCTACCCAGGCCCCTCTACAAATAACCCTAAGGAAAAAAATGACTCCTGTGAAAAGCAGATACCTGTTCTGGATACACACTGCCTTCTATCTCAGCAACTGTGTTCCTTGAAACCACTGGTGGCAAGTTTTGGGCTTCCATTTTCAAGTTGACTACTATTTTTGTTCCTCTTGCTGCCATCCTTGCCATCATTTCTGCATCTTCTATTGTTATACAGGCTGTGGGGATTTTCTTTACTCCTATGAATATGATATTATTAGAAAATTAAATGAATGGGCATGCCAAATAGCCTGCTTCCAATAAAAATTAGCTGCCAATAAAAATATCTCCAGCCTGTAACTCTGATTGCCCTAATTAGAGGTATCTGTTATTTTAGTACAACTAGTAATGCTTCTTCAGTCCAATCAGTAATTTCAATTTTTTTAAAGCCAAGTGACCCAAAGGGATTCCTTTCTGTTCCATTTTCAACTTATTCTTGATTTCGCTCCAATGAAGGGCCAATGCTCGAAATGTCAGCTTTTGTAATCGTTACGGTGGCCAATTTACCATTTCAACTTTGTTGATATATCCAAATTATTCTTGATTCAGTCAATGCCAAGATGAAGAGGCTTGAAGTTTCAAAAATTTACCTTTGTGATTTTGAAAAATTAAAATTTGATCTTGCAGAAACTCATCTGACTTAGTTCTCTCAGAGTCTCAACTGCAGCTTTTGTTTAGCATAATGTCCTGCACATACCCCTGCAAAAAAGACTAGTGTGATAACTGTAAAAAATTGGCTCAGCAAATATGTCAATAGAGATGGAGAGATAATATGGGTATATATAAGTTTACCTTTTTGATAATACTGCCAGCCAGTATGAGGACTGTTGATAGAAAATGGAGTCACAGAACGGATAAGGGAGGCAAGACCACCAACTTTGGCCACCTCAACAGCAGCGTTATCTCGATAAGCCACTGTCTTCCCATAACGAATCCACTTCTCATTAAAAACCACAATTTTACCCTTAGCCTGTGAGGAAAAAAAATTAACCACAATTAAGATACAATCATGAAAACAGAAAGAGAGGAAAGAGTTGATTTTTATTTAATATATTCTTTTAGGAATATATAGTTTGTTACTTAAGAATGTCTCATCTGTGCTCCTAGAATTTGCTCTAATGCAAATACAAGTACTGTAAGTGAAGTATTTAGTTAACATAGAAGGAGCCTTCACAAGACAGCCATTCCTCTTTATCCCATAATTTTAAGTGTATTCCATGTCCAGGAGAATATTGTAGTTTTCCATGACTTTTTAATAACTGAAACTTCAGATACCAGAGGAAACCTGGGAGAGAATAAGGGCAAGGAGAAAAAGAAATTACATTTACATTTATATAGCGCAGACTTCTATGTGGATATATTCAGTTGCACTTAACAGTATCGTAAGGTTGAGATCGGACGTCAGCATTTTTATCAGGCGCCTCTGGCAGCCGCTTCAGTCCATGTAGTGATCACACCTTCCCACCCATCCCACCCCGGAGAGGACATCCACTACACTGTAATCTTGTGCATGGAAAATTAACGTCTCCTACCCCTAACCCGGCAGGAGACAGGACCTACGGCTTTATGTCTTATCTGAGAAGACGAAGCAGTGTGAGTGAAGCATCTCGCTTAACGACACAACATCATGCCCCAGCCAGGACTTGAACCCGGGCAAACCAACCCAGAGTCCAGCGCACTGACCACTGGACTACTCATGCCTTCATCAGGAGAGAAACGCTTGTTTTTTCCTGATGAAGAAACAAGATAGCATTTGCCCTGAAATTCCAGATCAAAGTCCTTGACAAGCTAAGTGAACCACCCTTTTATTAGTAGGTCCTGCCTGCTTCCTTTTGAATATTTGACAAAACTGTTTAAAAAAATAGGGGGGGGGGAGTAAGATCCCAAAGAAACTGTGGTGTCACATCATGAGATAATTTGGAGTTGTTACTGTAAATTGGCCACCATAGAGTGTTCCTTTTTTGTCACTTCAGGGAAAGATTTACCACATACCTCTGAGGCCTTGGCATGAAGTTCATCAAATGAGCTCACCACCAAAACTTCGGCAGTAATACCTTCAGGTGGAGTACCAACACTACCTCCCAGGCCAAGCAGGGCCATAGAGTGATTCCTTGGCATAATCATTTGGGCTGATTCCTTACCACGCACCCAGTGTGTTACATTCACTTCTTCACCATGTACATTATCAAGTTTGTCCTCTTTCAGCTCATTTAACATATAATCTATAGCATGCTCCAGATTGGCAGAGCCTGCAACTCGACTGCCAAACGTATCAACAAATGTTGCAAGTCTGTTATAAACTTGATGCTTTCCTGGTCCTTTTGTTAAGAAGTCTATAATCTCATTAGCATCAGCTTGATGATCCGCTATCTCATTCCTTACCATGTCTAAAGCTTTATCAACACCCCTGGCTGATTTTGACGTCAGTGAGGGTAAGAAAATCAGAACAACATGCAACCAAAAGATCCTTAACTCCATGTTTACCTTAAAATCATAAAAGAAAAAATATAATAAGAAAAATCTAAATGTGCCTTCATCCTTAATTCACTTGGCCCAACCCTTTCCACCGCTAATTTTAGCATCCGTGTTCCCCCTGCTCCGCTCTATACATTTCCTTTGACAGCAACGATGAGAATTTGTTTAATAATCAAAACTTCTTAGTTTGGCGATAATTTCCTTTTCTCTCATGCTCTTAATGATTCACCATTATTTATTGCAAGGAAATATGCTGTCACTCTGATCGCAATTAAAGGCAACCCTTTTGGGCGGAAATCATCAATTGCAACATTTCAATTCAACGAAATCCGAAATATTGATAGTGCTGTGGTAATTTAAAAATCGATAAAATTATTGAACAATAATTGCTGATTTATTTGTATCGATTGTTGTAAATAACGACCTCTATAGCTTTTTCCCTATTTGTTATTACTGGTATATAATTTAAGACATTCCAACTTCATGAATTAGTTATCTCCGTGTTGATGTTTGCTGCGGAAGTTAGACACTTTTCTGTCACTTAGCACACGTCAGAGAATTCGCCTGGGACCCTAAGTCGGTGTTATTGGCCTTTGGAAGGCCTCACTATACGGAACAAGATTACCCGGACTTCCAGCGTTCGTGGACATCGACTCACCCAGCAGTTAGGGAAAGATTTTCGTATAACCCCATACCAATAAAAAACAAAGCCGACGTCCTAAAGGTAATCTGTTGTTTTGCCACTGTTTTCTTTTATCCACGAATATCGTATGCATAATGAAGTATGGGCGGTTATACGGAAATCTTGCCGCAGTTAGTGATTAACAGATTCCTTCAAGCTTGTTACGTTGCTTTGAAAACGAAACAGCAGCACTTTGCAATAACGATCAAGCTTTATCATCCAAAGTTACGAACAATTTTTCCGTTGGAAAGATGATCACTTCTTGCTTACCTCTTCCTGCCGTACTGTACTGTGAAGTACTTTTTTTCACCTCTGAACTAGTAGCTAGAATTCAATCAGCGCTTTCTCTCGCTTCCGCAAAGGCTTCCTTACTCCTTCACGCTTTCGCAAGCTACTAAATCACTTCTGCGTTTATTTACTCAACGGCTGCATACATTTTCAGTCTTAAGGGACCTCTCGACCTGCTCAAGTTTTTTTAATTCTGATTGGTTAGCATTGATGTTCCTTTTCAATTGGCTACTGTCCAATTAAATACCTGATATCATGTGTATTTGAAATCGGCCAGTTTGGGACTTAAAAGCAAAGAGCTGATCGAGCCACAAATAAATCAGAGGTGTCAGGTAAATAGTGCATTTCGCTTGCGCTGATCGGTTAGTTTGGAAGTGAATATAAGCACTATTTAACAACTGGTAAACACCACAGCGTACACTATTGGGTTATGGATGCACGCGGGAGGTTGCTAAGCACGAAAGAAGCGTAAGAGTCGCTCGAGGCGATGGCCGAGAGCGACTCTAGCTTCTTGAGTGCTTAGCAAACCTCCCAAGTGCATCCATAACTCAATAGTGTACGCTGTGGTGTTTACCATTTGTTTTATAACATAACATTGATACATTGTAGCTAAAGAGTTCCCTTTTATTTAACAAATCTTACGTGACCAGAAAAAACAAGCGCGCGCGGAAAAATAGTCTTTGCATTTGCTCACGTCAGCAGCGTACACCCATGGGAAAATGGGGGACGCTAAATTGACCAATCAGAGCGCCCGCTTTGCTTTGGTTATGTTGTAATAACTATTCACCTCCGAGTATGAGCAGCTGATGAGACGAAATCACTTGACAGAGTTTAATTTCCGGCCGTTTTCCAGTACATTGAAAGAAATAAACTCATTCTGTGTGTTATACTACAAAACAATTATTGACTTCAGTGTTAGTGAAAGTAGTGGATATTTCCCTCGCCGCTTCGCACCTCAGCGATTTATCCAACACTAATCACCTCCACTTTGGTGAATAACTGTGATATTACGAATCAATCATATTCAAGTATTTTTTTATTGACACAATTAAGAAACAGGAGCCCTTTTTATGATTGAAAATGAAAAAGGAGTTCGCTTCTCCAGCGTTTAAAAAAAAAAAAAGAAAGGGACTAGCTTGAACCAAACTGGAAAGAACAAACAAAAAAGAGAAACAAATTATATTATCGAGTAGGGCTGGGTCTCACACTCCCATCATTCTTTGCTCGCTTAAGTGATACAATTTCTCACCACGCGTTCCACTGTGTCTTCTGAGTTTGGTTGTCTGAGTTCAGGATTTCCCTCTTAGTCGTGCAGTTACTTAGCTACAGGCCTTTTCCACTCTATTAATTAGCTAGATAAGTTTAAGAAATGTTTTGAATTACAGTTGGAGCGTAAAATGATGCAAGCAGCAGGACAGGTACTCGGGAATGGTGCAGTTGAAAGGCGTATGAGCTCTGATCATATCAAGGTGAACCACAGAAATTCTCTCTAGGGGCAAAGTTGTCGTAGTTATGAGCTAACTGAGAAATTTATGTACATAATACCTTTCAAATTTCACCGAGTTTTGTTAAATTACGCTATTTTTCCGGTAAATTTATCTGCAAAGCTGTGAAATCTGTTTCCAATTAAGAGATATGTAGTTCACGTTGCCCAGTAGCCGATACATTTGTATTTCAAGATCAGTGTCCGCTCAGAGTTGTCATTCCAACTTATCTTTCTGTGTATTTTAATTTACTTGTTTTTTTTTTTTTCGGAAGTAGTTGTTGTTTTAGTCAGTTTGTGAGGTAATTTTGATCTGAGCTTTTCCGAATCAATGAAATTGGTTTCACTTGTCAAGGATGGTGGTGTCACATTTTGGAGCACAACTGAACGCGGAATCAAAGCAGAACTACGGTTGCAACATCATCCATACGACACAGAATCATGGGGAGTGCTAATCAGAGAGGCACAGGTATAAACAGGTTTTACATGAAACAAAACAGCTTAAAGCGGTCTGCTAGGGCGCCAATTATTCCTTATTGCTACATTAACTGAAATCTAGTCTTAGAACCGTCTGAAATCTTCTAATAAAGTAGGAAAAAGCCAAGGCTGAGCTTGTAAAATCGTTGTAAAACCAAGTTTTAGTTTATGTGAGATTTAATTTGAAAACACCATATTTCAACTCTATTCCGGAGTCAAATCGTATAGTCATAAAACTACATGATTTTGTGTGCAAAATTGGCTTCCTTCCAGAATGTTTAGAAAGTGCCAAAGAAAACCTGATTGCCTCATTTATGAGATGCTTTTTATAACGGAATGGAATCCAAGCTTAAACATTTAAACTGACTCCATCCATCTGAAACCCTTTGTCTAAAGAACATTTCTATCATTTTTACTCCTTGTGCCATTGAACTATTGTTTTTGATTGGTATTAATACATCTACATCTTCACCATCATTTTCACTTGTTGTTAATGTAACTTAAATGTTCAAACTTCATTGGTTTATATCTAAATTACAAAAATTTCCTTAAAATAATTTTCCTGATGTTTGTTAAAAACATTTTGATAGGGTTTTTTTTATTGTTAAATGTTATGAAAAGTCATTCATTTTGATTCCTTCAAACTGATGACTCTAATTTTTTTCTATTTCTTCACCATTAATTCCACATAGGCATGGTTAGGTGCTGTAGTACATTAGAGATATCTGACTAAGTTTTGCACTAAGAACAAATATTTTTCTGTTTGTCTGCTTTAATAGAATACTCCACTGGAAACATCAAGAGTTCTGTGTGAAAAGCTTGTAAGACGATTCCCAAATGCTGGCCGTTACTGGAGATTATACATTGAGCAAGAGGTTTTTAGAATTTGTAGTTTCTTTAAGATTTGTTAGCTCTGAAAATAATTTTACTAGTCTCTCTCAGGGTTACAAATTATTCAGGTCTTGGTATCTGGAGTTCTTGTGTCTTTTACTCTCTGTAGAGACCTTGTTATGTAGCATTAACATATTGCACTGATTCTGAGCCTAATTTTTGGGAAACCAGAGATAACTTGTGTAAATTGCTAGTAACTTTGCAGCAAATGTAGTTGAATTTTTTTTAGCTTAAAGAATTACTAGCAGTTTGTACAGGAAATCTAAGGAAATAGTGTTTGCTTATAGGGCAAGACAACAATCGTTTAACTAGGGTAAAAAATTGTGCAAAGCTTGATTTATTTTATAAGCAATATGATGTGACCATAAATAGGGAAGGTTAAAGGTAGGCAGCAAAAGGTCACCTAACTGTTGGCAGAATTGCCACAGAATAAAGGTTCTTGGTTGAGTTCTCTATTTAAAGTGAAATGCTATGTTTGTTTGCTCTGTTTAAGAGCGAAATAAATGGGCTTTTTCAATACTGTCTCCTTTACACACTAAACAGAGATTTGACTCTCAAAACTGGTTGTGTTGTGTTTGCATTTGTGTGCAGTCTCATTATTTGCCTCAAGTGTCATTTACTTTAACATTTTTAACTCCTGGGGTTCTGTTTAGACGTCTCATTTGTTATCCTTGGTTAAACTGTTCACATTCCACTTAATTTTAGACTGGGATTTTTTTGAAACCATTTTAAAGGTATTATTATTTTAGAAATATCTGTATCAACCAAAACATGATACATGCTACTCGAATGCAGTGAAACCATTTCCAGGGCTGTCCATGATATATCACACTTACAGTAATTAGCATGTTCAGTTCCTATTAGCAGAAACTTTCCTCTCCTGAGAGTGCTCAACTGACAGGATTAGAAGAGGAAATTTTAACCCGAAAAAATACATTTCATGTTTTATGTTGTAACTAAAGAAAAAAAGGTTCATGTTTTTCCAGAGGCTAACCTGGCGATAAAAAATGTTAAAATAATTTCCAGTTTGCACCTTACTTAAAATGTTAATTTGGGCCCAGATGAAGGTTACATACTGGTATTGGTGGAGACAATTACCACTTTGGTACTGCATTTAGATAATCCCTCACAGTTAGCTTACGTGAGCATTCCCTCTTGACTGTGTTCCTCTCTAAATACAGTTAACATCCTCAAAGGGCATGTTTTGTTGAAAGGCCTCAATTTATTATCTTGTACCTGCTCAGTCTTCTTCATTCACCCCCTCTTTCCCATTTTTAGTTTATTTTCCCTTTGTTTTTTGGAATCAGTGGAGAGCCATGGGATAGTAACCTTTTTTTACCCTGATTAGAGGATGTACCAATTGTTTGTAGACGTGAACAATAGAGTTTATGTTGCAGGCATAACTATGTTTTGGGCCTGACTCAAAATAATTTCAGCTTTAGCAGCTAGGCAAGGGTTAAAATGACTCAGAAAAGGGCCCAAAACATAGTTATGCCCAGGAATATACACTGTATTACTATTATTATGTGTCTGGAGGGCATCGAGAAAACGAAAACTTAAAAAAAATGACAGCAAAATAGTCTGAACAATCAGGCGAGCATGCAGGCAGGCTAAAGTCTCTATTTTAGGCTGCAAAATGCTTCACTGTCACTATGCCTTACAAAGTGATGTGATTTAAAGCACAGAAGTTTCTTTCCTGGAATTCTGGTTAAATGCCTTGCTCTTAATTCAAACTATAGTCTTATTTTCATTTTGAGGAAAGCAAGAAAATTCACATTAATGACTTGCAGTGATTTGATTTCATGATTTCAAAAGTTGGGCCCACAAATGTAAAAACAGCCATTGTCTCTAGTATCAGTAAGGGGAGAGGTGCCTAACATAGGGTGAAGTATGCTGCAAAAAAGGAAAAAGCCATTAGCCATTTTAATCATCTTCCTTCAACATTTCCTGCTTTTTTAACTACCTATTTCCTTTATAAACATTCTTTTTTTTTTTTCTTGTTTGTCATGTCTTTGAAATCACTTGGCATCAAGATTTTAAAAGTAGCATCTGTTGATCTTGAAAAACTCTAGTCTTACAGAGAGATTTTAAGCATTGTCCTCCTCTGCCAACCACTCAGCCTTAACTGCATTAGATCAAGACCCTCTCAGGTGCCATCCTACCCTCCACTCAGCTTGAATGATCCTAGCAATTATTCCTGATGCAGGAAGCTCCCATTATGACAAACACAAATCAAGAAGTGGACTGTATGAGCTCTTGGGACCTTTTTTTGCTTTTACAGACTTGACAAACTTCTGATATTTGAGAAGGGGAACATAGTTTTATATTTGGGAAAGAATTAAAGATGCACAATAATAGGGGTCATTGACTAGGACAATTACACTCTTCAAACATTGTAATTATCATCCTACACGAGTTACTACATGTTTGTAAAAATCTTGACTGTTAATTGTAAGTTGTACAAATCCAAGTTGCAGAATGCTATATTCTGTTTATTAAGGTCCCACCCCCCTGGCTTATTTTCTTTCACTACTCACCTAAGGGAGGGTTGGGACAGGGGACACTGAAGGTTACTCAGGAGGAAACAGATTCTCCCATATTGGGTGGCAAATATCTCCTGCTGTATGGGTTACCTTAAAGACTGCTGCCAAAAACCCCAATTCTTCTGCACTTGAAAATTTAGTTTTAGTTTACCTCTTGCACACTAAAATATTAATGACAAAATAATGATCTGTCTCAGTAGTGATGGGTACTCTTGCATTTTTGCATGTCCCTATCAGTTTTTTTCTGGAGAGATGCTTTCGAACAAAACAGTCTGAGTTATTATGAGGCTTCTGCCTTGTAATTATAAAATTGTACCAACTGCCTTGTAATTATAAAAACTTGATGCAGACCCTATGTTAAGGAGGTCAGAAACCATATACCATGGAGCATTTTGTCCTTGGGTGAGAGGGCTAAGGAACAAGACTCCTTTTCATTGGCACTTGATTATATTGAGTGTTCATTGTTAAGACCAGTAATTTTGCTAAACTGTTAATTCTGACCTTAAATTGAATTTGACTTTAAAGCTATTCTTTTTTACCTCTTGCTCACATAAGTTTGCACTCTTGCTCCCATTGTGCAAGTTATGTGCAGTGGTGTACATGTGAGACATTTTTGGCCACTTAGTAAGTCTTGGCCCCATCAGAATTGTAAGAGAAGTAGAAATGAGCTGGATTTAAGATCAAAGCTCTTGCAGTAAAGAACTGGTGCCCTCTTTTTATTACTTGTCTCTTCATTGAAAATTATGGCAAGAATAATCCCTAAACACTAATGGCTGAACAAAAAACAAAGTTAACTGTTGGCAAAACCCCATTTTAAATAAGCTTCAATACATCTGAGTGTTCTAAACATGGATTTCTTTGAGCAGCATTGAGGGGGCAGACAGTTAATACTAGAAAAACAGTTACTTCTAACAATAGGCCATTTTACAGTTGTGTACTTAGTTGCCAAGCCTTTGATTCAGAGTGAGAATAAAGATGACCTTGTTGTGAAAGAGACCTGTATCTAGTTAGCATGACAACAAAGTGATTTACATTTGAAAGGCAGCAAGGTTTGTATCATAACAAGGTCATCTCTAGCCTCACTCCTGTTCAAAGGCTTGGCAACCAAGCACGCAACTGTAAAATGGACTATTCCCTGACAAACATTCTGAGAGTTCCTTAAATGTGCAAAACTGTGGCATGTGTTATACTTGGTCCAAATAATGGGTCCTGACTATCTTGATTTTTAAGGATTGATTTATAGTAGTTTCTGTATTTTTTCCCCATCAATACTAGTGATAAAGATCTGCTTGAAACAACTTTTTTTTTTGTTTGTGTCTAAGGCCCATTTCTCAAAAGTCTAGGTAACTTAACAGGCCTGAAGCCTTATTTTAGAATAAAAATTTAAAGAATAGAGGAGCAGCTTCTGGCACCCTAACTGGTCCATTTTGTATCTTTAGCTGAAAGTTTTATTGTACAGTTTTCTAACTTTTGAAACGCTATCTTGAATGAAAACAGAGCAGCTTTAATGTGCTTGTTAAGTTACTGGGACCTTTGAGAAACAGGCCTCTGGTCTCAAAGTTGAAACCAGTTGGAATTAAGCTAAATTTGTTCATGTTAAACAGCTAGAAATCTTGAAATTAGCTCATTGTGTTCATGACAAATTGGCAAAAGCAAATGCCTTTTTCCACTGTTTTGCATATTTACTGTCCATGGTATTCAAAATTTGATTCTGGGTAAGAGAATGTTACCCAAGTTTTGCCAAATCACTCAATATTGATATGGAGATGTGTACATCTGATTTTGTCAAATTACTGTTAAGAATGTTTTTGAGTGAAGTTTTGGTGGTTGATTTTCTTTCAGATGAAACATAAGAATTATGAACAAGTAGAAAAGGTAATAACTTAAAGACAATCATGATTTTTTGTTAGACCCAACTGAGTGGTAAATGTTCTTGGCTATGGCCCTTGAGGACTTACTATGATTTTCAGTAGTATGAGGCAAGACTTGAGTTTGGCCACCACATTTTGACTTTTAAAATCCTGTTGTTGTTGAGGCAATTAGCTCCATTTGCAGTGGGATGTGTCTTGTGATTTCTTTCTGCAGGCTTTTGTGTTTGATGGTTAAGGATGCATGGTTTTTGAGATTTGATGACCATTGGGGAATGATGGGTGATAGGGGTTGCCTGTGACCACACTGTTATTTTATGTTCAAAGTCCCTTCACCAAACCTTTTCTGTGCCTCACTCAACTGGCAATCGTAGTAGTTTGTAGAGATCTGATTTGCAGGTCACCCCTTTTTCTTTTGAATTGTCAGTCTACACAGCCTACTCTGAAATATGGGTGTACTTTGTTCTTATGCTACCTAACTCAGACTGTCAGCACTAAGTCTCTGTTTCAGGGTTTGATAACTGGGAGAATGGAGTCAGGGGGCATTTAAGAACTTGAAAATCTGAATGTTGGGTGTAGAGAAGGGTGGTAAACCCTTGAAATTATATGGTTAACCAAGACAGAATCCCTTCTTAGCAGACAAGTGATGAGAATAAGCTACTAGGACAAAATATCAGTCAATGGATTTAGTGGAACCAATACCAAATTCTCAGAACTAGCATTGTAAGGATAATATAGCAGGCAGTAATGAGAATTGCTAATGAGATCTTTGGAGTGAGGGGGTGAAAGGAAACCACTGTCGGAACAAACTATTATTAAAAATTTGTCTGCATAAGTGAAAAGGAATTATTTATGGTGAGAGAAAATTGAAATATTGCCTTATTTTGATTTGAAACTGAAATTTTGTGTTCACTCCCATGTTATATTGTGTGGCATTTTGCTATGGCCAGCACAATTTGTGTGATCTCCCAAGGCTCCTGGGAACAAAAGTGCTACTTTTGATGATGGCGATAGGAGAAATAGTATGATATCATACAATCCATAATTGTACCTAGCTGGAAACTATTGCAAACACTAGTGTAGTTCATATTTGTTCAGGTTTTGTGCATTTTGCAGTGTGTTTGCCATTTGTGCTAAGGGAACTTCATATTTCATGTCATTTTTGTCCGATGAACAACAATTTGTTTAACAGTGGAGGCATCCAACTATAGTAGAACTATAAGATGGGTGGCGTTGTCTCTTCCTTTGTATTATGTTGATTCATACCCTCCAAGTGTCAGTTTTGGTACTTATGTTCAGTCAGTTAGGGAAAAATGTCCTTTGGGGTATATCAAATATCAATAATTGCTGGCATAGGTAAATCAGTTAGCTGGCCCTCCCTTATTTATTACCCCTGTGTTCTCTTGACTTTTGTCATTTCAGCTCTTCCAGAAATGCTTGATCAAGGTGTTGAACATTGATCTCTGGAAGTGTTACCTGTCATATGTAAAGGAGACTAAAAGCTCTCTCCAAAACTTTAGGTAGGCTTGCATTTTAATTTCAATACAGAAATCTTGATTTGGTTCAATTTAAAGCAAATATACCAGCTAGCATACAGATGCTGGTTAACCCTTTACAGTGTATACCTTTACATCAGTATCTGTATTCTCCATACATTTTTTTTTGGTAGTGACAGGGAGAATTCATTTAACAATCAAAGTGTCTTTGGTTGGTGATCATTTTCTTTATTCTCAAGATCTTAATGAATGATTCAGCAGTATTTTGCTGAAAGAAGAAGTTAGATGGAATCAATTGTTCAGGTCCTATGGATTTATTTTAAAACCAGAGAACCTCAGCATTTGTTTCCAGATAACTCTAACCAGTAGGAAGTCATCCAGAGTTATCGGGAGTGATATTTTCTTGAAGGATGGCAGGAAATGAGTCAATATTAAACAGATATTTGATGGGAAAAGAATTTTTTTCATTTTTAATTTCTTTCCAAACAAGAAGAACTTAAAATGGAGGAATAGTTTGTTACAAAACAAACCTTATAAGGTACAACAGAACTGAAGCAAATATACCACTGTAGTGCCCTTCAACAATTTTTTGATAATAGTTATCAATTGAAGGTTAAAAATGTAAAGAAAATAAGCCAAACAAAACTTTGAAAAGGTAATTGAGGTTTTATTAACTGAGTTAATAAATAAATGTAAATTGGCCTCCATAAAGCTGGCCTTTTTGAGCAGTAGCCTTTCATCTTTGGCTCTGACAAAGGGCTAACACTCAAAACATCAGCTTTGAAACTCATTGTGGTGGCTGATTTACTTTACTGACTCAGTTGATAAAACCATAATTACTTTGTAATACTCCCTTGCTGATGGAGCACCACAGTTCCTTTAGAAACGTACCCCCCCCCCCTCCTTAGAACATTGAAAGGTTGAGTTTTGAAGGTATGACGCAAATCTATGAAAAGTAATAATAATTAGTATAATTTCAGAGCTGAGCAAAGAGTTTCCAGCAATCTGATTGGTCGAGCAGTTCATTATATGATGCTATATAAACTGCTCCACATGGATAAAATGTTAATTTAAAATGTTTAACTTAGTAAATGTTGCTAAAATGTTATGATTTTAGAAATTTTTCTGTTGTTCAGCTCTGAAATTATACTAATTAACAATTATTTGCCTCAGGTTCAGTGAATATTGTCGAATAATCCCCTTGACTTCATCTCGGGGATTATTCGACGATATTCACCTTGCCTTCGGTGAACAATTGGTAATTATAAGTTTGCTCGAGGGCAAGATCTGCTTGTTTTGCTGTTAGTTCCTGGAAAAAGCCATCAAAGGAATTAAGAATCTTAGGAGTGGAGTGAGAGAAGAATAGGGTAGTTCTGTTTGTAAAAAGTGACTACTTAGCACTGTGCATTAGAACTACATGGGCATGAACTAAAATTGTCCAGGGAAACAAGAAGCAGCTCGAGAGAGTCTGGCTAGCTTGAGCTGCAATGGAGGTGATGATGAATATCTGACAAATGTGCTCCAAAAGAAGTAGTGGTAGGATTAAGATATGTAGGGCCAGATACCTGTCCTGAATTAACATAGTCTTGAGGGCACCACTAGTTACTCAGTTGAAGCACTGTCCTGTGTTACCCTCATTAAATAAAGTTGATTGATTGATTGATTGATTGAGTAAACAAGGCTCCACCCTATGATTTACCTCTTACCATCTTTTCTAAAGCTTATAACCCTTTTCACTCCTGTTTTCTTTTAACCCCCTGCTAATTTTCAGTGTAGTGGTATTCACCCTTTAACCTTAACCCCCATTGCATGATGCCTGACCCCTGACACCTGACCCATGGACCCAGCTTACTCCATTTTCAGCCAACAGTGGGATAAACTAATTGTTGACTACAATATAAAGGAGGAAAGTTTTTGTACCATGTGAACATAGTGTGCATATAGTTTCTACAAGGTTTTTACAGTAGTACAATGTATTCCCTCTTCTTCCCACTAGTCAGAACATTTTCACCCTCAGCTGATAGAGCCCTTTGGCTTGATGTTTGTTTTAAAGTTGTGGTCTTCACCTTACAGAGATAAAATGCATCAAGCATATGAATTTGCCCTGGATAAAGTCGGAGTAGACTTCAACTCTTACCAAGTAAGTTGATATAATTGTAAAACATATTACTATAATGTTTTTTTTTTCACTTGGTTTTTTTAATACTATACTATTAATTTTCTTCAATAATTGTTGTTTGGGTTTGTTAAAGCTTTTTGATCTACTTCAGAAGAGAATATAAGTGTCTGTATAATAAACAGTATTATTTGTTCCAAAATAAAAAAGTCTTTATGAACTCAAAACTCATATTTCTTGTGTATAAGGTTAAGTGTACACATGCATGAAAGTGATCAGGAACAACTCAGTGCTTTCTTTTGCTATTTTTCCATAAATGCGAAAGAAGAACATGGAAGACATTCCACCAGTTTTCATATGTAGGTTAATACACATGCACAAAGGAAAACAACCTAATACATTTTTTAATCCGATCAAGGGTATAATATACTAAGGAAGTTGTAAATAGATTTTTCTCTTTTCCTAACAATTCTTGTATTTTGTTTTGATTTTTGTCCCTTTTTTTCACAGATTTGGTTGGATTATGTCAATTTTTTGAAGTCAGGGTACGAATAGTGACTAGACTGGATCATGCACGTGGCTTTTTTTCACTTTGGCTCAAACTGGCTTTTATTAAGGACTTTAAATTTATACATGACTTTTGAATTGTTTTATTTTTTAGTGAAGCGGTTGGCAGTTACGCAGAAAACCGCAAGATAATCAACATTAGGAAAGTTTATCAGGTAACCCATACAACACTTCACTGTTTTCACAAAAGGCAACTAAGAGCTCTCTTTCTTAATATTGAAACTTATTCTTGTATAGTCATTTTCCGAGAATAAAAACACCTATCGCTATCAATACTCTTTGTTATAGAGAGCTGTGGTGACTCCCATTATAAATTTGGAGGCACTTTGGAGGGAATATAATGCTTTTGAACAGGTAGGTAAGATTTTCTTTGGTATTTCCTGAAACTGTAGTCCTCATTTTGATAAAATAATAATTTTTAATAATTTTAATTATAATAAAACACAGCCAGTTGTCTGTCTGTGTTTTATTATTTTTAATAAGCATTCCAAGTTATCATTCATATGAAATTGTAATGTCATCTTACATCTCAGTTCCAAATGAATTATAGAATATCTACTGGTGCATAAAAAATTTGAGAAATTTGCAGTAAATTTTACAGCCACCCAAACTTGTTTATATTTCAGAGTGTAAACAAGCTATTAGCAAAGAAGTTGATTGATGATAAAACAAGAGATTACATGAATGCCAGAAGAGTTTCTAAGGTAAATGATTAGCTTCCTAAACAAGCATTAAGTTAAGGAAAAAAATTAAGATATAAATTATAAAATATATGTGAGACAGATTTAAGTGACATAGTAATTGGCTGTGACTAAGAGTGGGACAAGGATGTAGGATGTGGGACTTGGGGACGTGGGACTCGAGGATGTATGTGGGGACTCGGGGACATACGTGGGGACTCGGGGACATACGTGGGGACTCGGGGATGTGAGGACTCGGGGACATGGGGACTCAGGGACGCTGGGACTCAGAGACACCAGAACTCGGGGACATTGCATGGGGACTCTGGGACTTGGGACTCAGTGACGTGCAGGGACTCAGGGACGTGATAAACAAACAACGCCTGATTTTTGCGCTGAACCTGTAAAGTATAATTTTCAGTGGCCTCGAGAAAGGTATTATACTACTGAATCAGGTGGACTGCTTTTCCAGAGAAAAAGCAAAAGTGATTGTTTTTGGTCATGTGACTTAAAAACAATGTTAATGCAAAAGCCAAACACATGTGATAATATTCCTTCGCATTTCTTTGCCTGCACTTTTGTTGTCTATTGTAGTTTATCGGCTTTCATTTAGTAATCAATCAATCAATCAATACCGTAATCTTTATTTATACACGATAAGTATTAAAAGCGACACCTCGCTTGTGGGGTCATGTCTAAATAATTGAGTAAGATAACTAATGAATTAGAGAATAAATAGTATATACCCAGCTAAAATCATATCGCTACTTACTACTTAGAAGTCTAAAATGATAAAAGCTTAAAATTCTAAAAAACAAGGTGGTACTCTAATATCGTCTAATTATTAACACTAATTATACTTAAAATCTTCCTCCCTTCTGGTTAATGTTTGAGGGGAGATACAGTCGAAATCAAGGTGTAGCAAAGCCTTAGATCGTCTTGCCATAATTGCATATTTCTTAACATTGTCTATATCGTCATTAAGTTGAGGAACCAACATGTTCCAAGCTATTTCTCCTATACGAGCTACAGAGTTCCTCATGTAGTAGGTGTTAAAACAAGGGACATCAATTTTCAGTTTCTTCCTAAGTTGATATCACTTGATGTTATCATTGTTCTTAATAATAGCTGACATACCATCTGGAGTCAGGTTATTATGGATTTTATACATAAGCTTAGCTAAGCTAATTTTATACATAAAGGCTAAAGGGGACCAATTAGCCCTTTTCATAACATCAGCATTAGACATCTTCCAAGGTAGCTCAAAGATAATTCTCGCAGCTCTACAATGCAGTGCTTCTAATGCCTTAAAACCTTCCTTATTTCTGAGACCTTCCCTCACCGATATTCCATATACGATCGACAGCATAATAACTCTAATAACACATTCTTTGGAAGAAATTTGCTACGTTTTAACAAGTTTAACTTATCAACAAAGCCCTTTTTAACAACACTAACATGTTTGGACCAATTTAGTTGATCATCTATCAATATGCCTAATAGAAGAGAGTGTGTAACCCATTTGATGGTGTGCTGGGCCAACGTTAACTCTTTCAATGGGCCAGTGAGTCTTCCATATGGAGAATCATTGCTTCGCATTTCTTTGGATGAGGCACAAGGGAGTTTGTTTTGCACCAGTACAGAAGCTCTTCCAAAGCTTTGTTAAGTTCAGAAATTACTGTGTCAATAGAATCACCAATGCAATATAGGGTGGTATCATCAGCATACATGTAGGTTGTCGCAGTAGTTATAGCTCCAGGTAAATCACTTGTGTAAAGAGAAAATAAAGTCGGGCCTAGAACGGAACCCTGCGGTATTCCAGCTTTAACAGTGTTAAGATCTGATGCTATACCATTTAGGAGAGTATATTGTTTTCTATTGTCAAGGCAACTGCACAATAGTAGCAATCCATTCATTCCAAAATCATTTTCTAATTTATGTAATAGCACATTATGGGAGACACAGTGGAACGCTTTCTGGAAATCTACCAGCACTATACCGACAACTTTATTTGAATGAATGGCACTCCTCCAAATTTCTGTCATATATACTAACAACAGTTCTGTAGAATATCCTCTTCTGTAAGCCCATTGTTTGTCTGCAATTAATCTATTTTCAATAAATGCATGGTGAATGATCGCATCAGCAACAATGGATTGAAGTATTTTGCTGGGAACACTGAGAAGAGATAGGGGGCGGTAATTTCCAGTTTCAGTCTCGTCATCCTTTTTAAAAACAGGATTGACTCTTGCAGTCTTCCACTGGCTAAAGACGTAACCATCTTTCAAACTCATCTTGTAAAGGAACATCAACGGGGTTAGCAGTGCATCTCCAGCTTCCTTGACTATTTTCTGTGATATGTCGTCGGGTCCTGTCGCTTTATTTGTTTTGAGATTAGCCAATTTTCTCTCAATGGCCAAAGGCGATAGTGCAACGTTATTGACACTAGGAACAATCTTGGTTGACGTGGCCAGGTCAGATAGATGTTGGGGCTGGAAACTGCCAGCCAGTTTCTCTCCGATGTTAGAGAAGAAATTATTGACTAAGTTTGATTTCTCTTTGTCATCAACTGCGAGTGATCCATCCTCTCTTTTCAGTGGACCTATTGCTTTCCTTAATTTAGGGTTATTTGCCTTTGTGAGCAGGTTCCAATACTCTGCAGTGGTTTTGACATCAGCTAATAGATCTTTTAAATGTTTAGCCTTGGCTCTGCGTATGTCAGCTGTGATTTCATTTCTAAGATTCTTATATGCAGCCCATTTGCCCGGATCCTTTGTCCGGTTTGCCTCTTTGAATAATTTAAATCTGTGATTCATTTTGTGCCTAATTGTGTTGTTAATCCACGGAGCGGACATACTTCTCACTTTCACATCCTTAAATGGGGCGTGAGCATTGCATATAATTATCTTTAAACAATTGTTCCCATCCCCAGAGCACGTCGTCTTTGTGATGGAAAATTTCCAAGATATGAAAAGGAATCTTTTCAATATCAGCCTTAAAATTCGTTGCATTGAAATTTTTAAAATTTCTGGTGCCAATAATCTTCAGTGGTGGTCTTTTGCTGCCCAATTTAAGCGTTGCATACACTAGGCAATGGTCAGATGTTCCTAGTGGCATTACTCCTGTGCATCACACAACATCCACCTTGGTGGTAACAATAAGGTCAATCGGTGACTTTGTGGAATAGGTTATGCGAGTTGGTTCAACAATAACATTTTGCATATTAAAATCTTCGAAAAGCCTCAGCAAATTCTTCATTTTAGATGTAATTAAGGTGGAGCCAGGATTGTTTTTGGCTTCCACCATGCTGCAGTTTAAGCCACCAAGGATGAAAATATTGTCTGTTTTCAACCAGGCATTCTCAAGGACGCCGTCATAGTTTTCAAAGAAGTTGGGAGTTGCGAGTTCAGATCGGTAAACAACTGAGAATAAAGTAGTGTGGGCTGAGAATTTCACCTGTATCCATATGGCCTCAATATCTCTGATTAATAAATCTTTACGATGTACAGCCGTTAGATGTTCAGCATAGTACAGGGCAACACCTCCTCCTTTGCATTTAGTTCTGTCACGTCGGATAAGTTGGAGACCATCTATTTGCAAGAAGTTATCAGGAACAGAAGAGTCCAGATGGGTCTCAGAAATTCCCAAATTGTCAAATCCACATATTCTCTGTAGGAGTCTTAATTCATTGATCTTATTTCAAAGGCTACAAATGTTCAAGTGTGCAACTCTAAGATCTTTGGATGAATAGTTCAAGATCTTTGAGGGGTTCTCAAGGTAATCTTCAGAATCTGATGTCTGTTGAGAAGCCAGTTCAGTACAAAAGTCATCACCATGAGAAGTGAAGGAGCCATCGCTGGAGTCTAAATTGCTGATTTCAGCAAAAGGTAAAGTTCTTAGGGTAAATATACAAGATGGACAAGTCTAGTCGAAATTCTGTATGTTTTGCAATCGTCGGTATTCACGAAGCGAAATTTCACCGCATTTGATGTGGCACCAATGTTTACACACACACATTCAATAGCTCGGTTATTACTGTGGACATTCTTCTGACACACGGAGCACAGTGTAATAATTTTGCTGTTAATAGCAGGACCTGGATTAGATTCAATGTCTCCTCTAGTTGAAATTCTTGTCAGAGTAAAACTGGCCTCATGGTTTGGATAGAGCGAAATGCGAGTGGATAGGTATCTTCTTCCATGTGGCTGAAAGGTCCAAGTTGAGAATGAAATATTTCGCTTAGGACTTTGAAGGTATCCATAGAAAGTAATTCTGCAATCAAAATCCGTACTAAATTGGCTGTATGAACTAAAAGAAACCTTGTATAGGCAAAGGAAGATGTAAGCAAACAAGGAAATGGAGGAGCGAAGAAATCTTCAACCGGCCGCCATTAGCTTTCACCAGCAAAATCACAGAGAAGCAGGGCAACAAGACCAACCAACACATCTGTTGTTTACAGTCAACGATACAGGAGTTTGGATGGTGGATGGAGGGAAGATTCCTTATGAAGGGCAACAGGGACAAGAGAATTCCCAAGAAAAGCTATGATGGAGAATAGAATGTGCACTGCTCCTGTTAAATTTCATAAATTTGTTCCCGCTATCACCTCGCAGTTCAATAAACAGCTGATTCTCTTTACTGGAAAGTTACTTGTCATTGCAACGAGATCATATTTAATACAACATATTCTATAATATTTCTTTCTGGAAAATCAATGTGAATTAATTACAACAGATGAAACTGAGGTGTCTACCTTCGATGATCTGATGCGAATCATCAGGAATAAGTGGGAGTGTTTACAATTTATTCCTGAGGAAGAATTGTGGATTCAGTACAAGGATGTTGAGGATACTTTTGTCACAAAGTAATTGCAACTTACATCCGTTGTAGTTATTAATTCTTCATCAGGAATAAATTGTAAACACTAGAGTTCTACTGAATCCACGATTCTTCATCAGGAATAGATTGTGGATACTATAATATACTCCTTACGATTTGCATCAGATCATTGAAGGTAGACACATCAGTTTCGTCCATTGTTGCTAAAGACAACTGCTACACATATCTCCAGAAAAACAGTCTACTTGTTTCGGTAGTGTACGTGATACCTTTCTCGAGACCACCAAAACTTAAACTTTACAAATCAGCGCAAAAATCAGGTGTTGTTTGTTTATCATGTCTCTGAGTGCCCATGTGTCGCTGAGTCCTGAATTGACCTTGCATTCCATGTCCCTGAGTCCCAGTGTCCCCGAGTTCCCAAGTCCCTGAGTCCCCGGGTCCCACATTCCTGAGTCCTGCGTCCCCGGGTCCCCGAGTCCCACACCCCGAGTCCCGTGCCCCCAAGTCCCATGCCCCCGAGTCCCATGCCCCCAAGTCCCACGTCCCCAAGTCCCCGTCCCCGAGTCCCTGTCCCACTTTTAGTCACAGTATCCAAAGGACTATCAGTACAAACTCAGTTTGGAATTGAAACCTCCCCTTATGGTCTAGCTGCTCCAATTCCTAAGCCTGTAATGGTCAACAGCTAAGAACCTCTTGTGTTATTGTTGCTGAGCATTTAGGAGCAATAAACTCATAATATGTCATCTCAATGTTTTTTGCCTCTCTCTTAAGCTTGTTCACTCAAAAAGAAAAAAGCTCTGTCATGACAAGATAATTTTTTAAAACAATATAAGATGGATTTCAGGCTAAAAAGATTTCAAACCAGGTCAATTTGTCTTTTCCTCTTAATTCTTAAAATTATGATCATTTAACTGTAGGAAATGGAAATGCAAATTGAGTGTTTTCAGCCCCTTTTTCTTGAGCCCCAAGGGAGCAAACATTTTCATGGTATACATTTTCATCTATAAGTTTCAAAACTTGTTTATCAAATTGAAGTTTGTGTGAATTTCCTTTCTTTTCAGGAATATGAAGCCATTACTCGTGGACTGGTCAGAGGAAACCCTTCAGTTCCTGTTCAGGGAACTGCTGATGAAACTAAACAGGTAGTATATTGTAAGAAATTGTGGTTTATCTTGGACATATCTTTAACTTCATCCTTAACAAACTACAAATTTCTTTTGTTTCATCTTAAGAATTTATTGGCAACAGGAGAGATATTCTTTTTTTTATTCAATTGTCAGCTACAAATATGGAAGAAGTATATTGCCTGGGAAAAGAACAACCCACTGAGGACAGAAGAGACTGCCCTTCTAACTAAGAGAGGTAATACTAAAGTGATTCTGTAAATGGGAACACTATTCTTGCTATCATGTACTTTCTCCTACTTACCTCTCCAGAGAGGAAGAGTTAGTATGATTATTTTTTTTTTTTAGTTTGATTATGCATAACAAACAGATTAATCTAGTCATTCTTCTGATTGGCTGAAAAACAATCAACAGAAAAGCATTGGTGGAATGAAAAAATCTCTCTCAAACTCAAATTACCAAGTAGTCCCAGGTTTATGAGACTGATGATTTCATTCTGCAGGCCTGGGACTCTTGTATACGCATGAGATGTGAGAGTTAGTGGGTTAGTAGGTTCTGTCAGTTGTCAGTACTGTCCCAGCAGGACTAAGTATACAATATTGTTTTCATTCCTTCCTGTTTACTTATATGAAGCATCACTCTTTGTATTTGCAGTTGTGTATGCTTATGAACAGTGTCTACAGACAATGGGGTTTCATCCAAACATCTGGTGTGAGGCAGCATTGTACTTGGAGAAAGTCAGTCAGAAGTTGATGGACAAGGGGGTAAAGTGACTTTATGTCCTCCATTTGTTTTGGAGTTCCTTAAAATTAAACTCACCCAATTGATGATGTTCATGTGGCCTATAGGGTAGCTATCCTGCAGTCACTTGAAGCTTTCAGGTCTGAAATGTGGCTTAGGGTGGGACTGAGGAGTTGGTCAAACTACAGGAAGACAAACTTTATAACTTCAAGCAAACTACTCTGGCTTAATTAGGGCTTGTTTGTTTATTCTTTGCTTGTGGACAGTTGCAACTCTATTTACTTGAAGTCAGCTTCCATTTTTGTACAGGGTGGTACCCCTCAAATCCTTAGTTTTTCTCCTGGTTCCCTTTTTCAATTTCTCTACTCACAGCATTTGCTCTAAATTTGTTGTTACCCAGTGACTTTAAAATACTGATTTGACAGGATTTGCTTTTGCCTTCAATGCATCAATTAATTTCCACACACTGTATGATTTTGGAATTCTACAGGACATGCAGGGATCCAAAGTACTTGGAGATGAAGCTGGTGCCATATATGACAGAGCCATCACAGGGATCATGAAACACAGCATGCTTTTGTACTTTGCTTATGCTGACTTTGAAGAGGTAATAAAAAAAAAAGTTGTGTTAAAAAATGACTTCTGGCAAAACTACCAGTAATATTTCCATGAATAAGTTCTGTGGCGCACTTATTTAAACTTGCAGTGGAAAGGAGGGGCATAAATTAGAAGGAGGGCGCTTA